AATGGCTTGAACCTGGGAGGCAGAGTTTGCAGTGAGCTGAGATCATGCCATTGCACTCCAGCCTGGGTAACAGAGCAAGACCCTGTCTAAAAAAAAAAAAAAAAAAAAAGAAAAGAAATGTTCTTATGTTTTGTATTACAGATGTAGAAACTGATCCTACAGAATATCCCAAAACCCTTCTTAGGTCTCCTACTTTTGTATGGTAAGGCCTGTATTCAAACCTCAGTCTTGCCTAGGTCCAGCGTACCTCCTCACCACTTCAATCCTATGGGACTTTAGAGAATTTACCGAGGAAAGAGACCATTGTGTTCTTGCCCTTAAACACCTGTGTCTATAATATCTGGCACACAGTAGCGTGTATTAAACATCTCTTGAGTTTGGTTGAATAAGAAAGCTGGTTCCCAGCTCCATTTTATGTATATTTCTGTCAGCTTTGATATACGTTCCTTGGGGAACACAAAATACAAAGCTATTGCTTTAAAAGGTTTACAATAGGCAAGTGTTCGCTAAAAAAAAAAATTTAAGTAAATAAATGAATGAACGAACAGTCAACCAAGACAGTTTCTGTTTTGGAGTCACACCTTAGTCATAATCATATATCACAAAAGTTCCAAAAGTGTTCAGGAAAGGGTACTCTCCTAGCACTGTAGAGTGTTCCTTCAAAGTTTGTATAATGGTTTATAATTGTATGGTCATCAGTTTTCCTCCCCTCCCGCTCCCATTGACTGCAGTCTCCACAAGGTCAGGGACTGTGTCCTTTACTCTCACTGTCATATCTCTAGTGCCCTATAGTATGCCTGGTATACAGTGGCACTCATTAAGTGTATGGTGACAGAATATTTGAGTTCATAAAATGAGATATCATTCTAGCCTCTCTTGCATTTTAGAGCCGAGGCCCAGAAGATGAGAAGACATCTTCTGGGCCTCGGCTCTAAAATGCAAGTCTCAGCTGGCTGGCATCAGAACCAGGTCTATTGCCATCACAATTTCTTTCCCCCTCCCTTCCTTTACCCAGGAAAAAACCCTCAAAGACCCTCCAGGTTCTCAGAATCCCAGGGATGTTTCTAAAGAGAAAGTAACTATCTTGACAATCCCTTGGGGAAACCAGTGGAAGATTTATGACGGTGGGGGAAGAACCCCTCCAGACTTCATCAAGGCCCAAGCTGAGAACTCAGCACAGCCCCATCCCCTGCCTACCCTAACTCCTGACTCAAAAATAAGTTACTGAAAAGTGCTTTGCAAATGCACAAATGTCCCAGAGGGAGGCACCAATTAGTGCACACCAGCCCTGTGCTCTCCAAAACCATGTAGCTCCTCTTCCACCCACCCACTCACTCACCAGTCTTCTCTGTGGTCATACCAATACATGTGAGTGGTGGTCATAGGGCAGGCTATGCTATTTACTGCTTGTGTGAAAATTTAGGCAAAATTCTTGATGTCACTCTGCCTCAGTGCTCTCTATGTAAAATGGACACAGTAACAGTGTCTACCTCATAAGCTTGTTCTGAGAATTTGGAGTTAATATATGTAATGACTAGGGGCAGTATCTTGCACATTGTGCTGTGGAAGTGAAGGTTTCTATGACCTTGTGCTGAGTACTGACAATATCCTCCCTATCTCTTAGGCCCCTCCACTGTGATCTGTCTTTACTATGAATGCATGTCTGTTCTCCCAGCAAATACCTACTTCCCCACTGGGTGCCAGGTCTCATGCCTGCTGATCTTCCCAGGGTCATTGCTCCAGAAATTTTCTCCTTTCTCACTGGTATTATCAATATTTGCCTCTAAGACTTGATAATTCTTATCAGGACAATAAAGATATTGTTATTTCTCCTGTACAGACACACACATACACACATGCACACTCTTCTTTTGAGCCCACCTCCTCCTCCAACTCTGTCTCTTTATTCTTTTATAGCAAAGCTCCTCAAAAGAGTTGAACATAGACCCTATCTGCAAATTCTCTTCTCTCTTTTGCTCTTGGATATACCCCTGGTCAGGCTCTTGCCCCCACCCTATTTCCAAATTGCTCTAGTTAAAGTCAACAGTGACAACTCACCATAAATCCAGTGGTCTAGTCTCAGTCTGAATCTTAACAAATGAGGCAGCAGCATTTGAAACAACTGTTCACTTCCTCCTCCATGACACTCTTTTTGCACTTGGCTTTCAAGAACAGTCTCTTGGTTTTCCTCCTATCTCATTGGCTTCTCCTTTGTCTCCTTGGGTTGTTCCTCCTCATCTTCCCAAACATGCTGGAGGCGCCAGGGCTTAGTCCTTTGTCCTCTTCTCTTCCATATCTACTTTCATGCTCCTATGATCTCATCCAGGCTCCTGGCTTTAAATACCATCTGTACACTGTGAACATCCAAGTGTCCAGCCTTTCCCGTAACTGCTCAATACCTCCATGTGGCTGTCATTAGGCATTTTTCTCGTAATAAATTAAAAAGAAATCAATTTCATGGAAGTCCTAGCAATCAGGCAAGAGAAAGAAATAAAAGGCACCCAAATACGAAAAGAATAAGTCAAACTATTTCTCTTCACTGATGATTTGATTCTGTATCTAGAAAACCCTAAAGACTCCACCAAAAGTAAAGTTTCAGCATTCAAAACCAATGTGAAAAAATTAGTAGCATTTTTATACACCAATAATGTTTGAGCTGAGAGCCAAATTAAGAATGCAATCCCATTTACAATAGACACACACACACACACACACACACACACACACCTTAAGAATATATCTAACTGAGGAAGAGAAACAAGGAGAATTATAAAACACTGCTGAAAAAAATCACAGGTGACACAAATGAAAAAATTTCCATGCTCATGGGTTGAAGAATCAATATGGTTAAAATAGCCATACTGCCCAAAGCAATCTACAGATTCAGCATTTTTCTTATCAAACTACCAGCATCATTTTTCACAGAACTAAAGAAAACTATTCTAAAGTTATTTTAAAATTTAAATGCAAACAAAAAACAGCCTGAATAGCCAAAGCAGTCTTAAGCAAAGGAACAAGGCCAAAGGCATCACATCATCCGACTTCAAACTATACTTTAAGGCTACAGTAACCAAATCAGCAGGATACTGATGCAAAAACAGACACATACACCAATGAAACAGAATCAACAACCCAGAAATAAAGCTGTACACCTATAATGATCTGATCTTCAACAAAGTTGACAAAAGTAAGCAATGCGGGAAAGACTCCCTATTCGATAAATGGTGCTGGGATAGCTGACTAATCATATGCAGAAGGATGAAACTGGATGCCCACCTTTTGTCATATACAAAACTTAACTCAAGATGGATTAAAGATTAAATGTAAGACCTCAAACTATACAGATCCTAGAAGAGACCTAGGAAGAATCATTCTGGATATTGCCCTTGGGAAAGACTATACGTCTTCAAAATCAATTGCTACAAATACAAAAATTGACAAGTGGAACCTAATTAAATAAAGAGCTTCTACACAGAAAAAGAAACTATCAACAAAGTAAACAGACAACCTATAGGTTTGTTTCCTGGGAGAAATTATTCACAAATTATACATCTGAAAAAGGTCTTATATCCAGAATCTATAAGGAACTTAAACAACTAAACAAGCAGAAAACAAATAACCTTATCTAAAAATGGGCAAAAGACATGAACAGACATTTCTCAAAAGAAGACATATAAGCAGCCAGCAAACATATGGAATAGTTCTCAAAATCACTAATCATCAGAGGAATGCAAATCAAAACCACAATGAGACATCATTTCACACCAGCCAAAATGACTAATTATCAAAAAGTCAAAAACAACAAATGCTAGTGAGATGGTGGACAAAAGGGAATGCTTATACACTGTTAGTAGGAATGTAAATTAGTGCAGCCACTGTGGAAAGCAGTTTGGAGATTTCTCAAAGAACTTAAAACAGAACTACCATTTGACCCAACAGTCCTATTACTGGGTATATATCCAAAAATGAATAAGTGATTCTACCAAAAAGATGCCTGTTCTTTTATGCACATTAAAGAACTATTTACAATAGCAAAGACATGGAATCAACCTTGGTGCCCATCAGTGGTGGATCATATAAAGAAAATGTGGTACACATATGCCGTGGAATACTACTTAGCCATGAAAAGAATAAAATTATGTCCTTTGCAGAAACAAAGATGCAGCTAGAGGTTATTATCTTGAGTGAATCAATGCAGAAAAAGAAAACCAAATACTACTTGATGTGGTTTGGCTCTGTGTCCCCACCTAAATCTCATCTTGAATTATAATCTCCATCATACCCATTTTTTGAGAGAGATACTTGGTGGGAGGTGATTGGATCATGGGGGCAGTTTCCCCCATGCTGGTCTCATGATAGTGAGTGCATTTTCACAAGATCTGATGGTTTTATAAGGCAATTTTTCCTGCTCTCTCTTGAACTCCTCTCTCCTGCTTCCATGTTAGATGTGCTTGTTTTCCTTCCACCATGATTGCAAGTTTACTGAGTCCTTCCCAGCCATGCTAAACTGTGAGTCAATTAACTTTCCTTTGTTCATAAGTTACCCAGTCTCAGGTAATATGTTTATAGCAGTGTGAAAATGGACTAATACACCATATTTTCTCACTTATAAGTGGGAGCTAAACATTGGGTACTCATAGACATAAAGATGAAAACAATAGATATTGGGGACTGCTATTTGAGGGAAGGAGGAGGAGGGGAAGAGTTAAAAACTACTGGTACTAGGCTCAGTACCTAGGTGACGGGATCAATCATGCCACAAACCTCATCATCACGCAACATACCCAGGAAACAAACGTGCACAGGTACCATCTGAATCTAAAATAAAAGTTGAAATTATATTTTTTCTAAATATTTGAGAATTTTCTATTATTGATTTCTTGTTTAATTTTGTTATAACCAGAGAACATGCTTTGTGTGGCTTTACTTTATTAAAAATTGTTAAAGTTATTTTTTCACTTTTTTTTTATTATACTTTAAGTTCTGGGATACATGTGCAGAACATGCATATTTGTTACACAGGTACACATTTACCTTGGTGGTTTGCTGCACCCATCAACTTGTCATCTACGTTAGGTATTTCTCCTAATGCTATCCCTCTCCTAGTCCCCCACTCCTCAACAGGCCCCAATGTGTGATGTTCCCTCCCCTGTGTACTGTGTTCTCATTGTTCAACTCCCACTTATGAATGAGGACATGCAGTGTTTGGATTTCTATTCCTGTGTTAGTTTGCTGAGAATGATGGTTTCCAGCTTCATCCATGACCTTGAAAAGGACATAAACTCATCCTTTTTTATGGCTGCATAGTATTCCATGGTGTATATGTGTCACATTTTCTTTATCCAGTCTATCATCTATGGGAATTTGGGTTGGTTCCAAGTCTTTGCTATTGTGAATAGAGCCACAATAAACATACGTGTGCATGTGTCTTTATAGTAGAATGATTTATAATCCTGTGGGTATTTACCCAATAACAGGGTTGCTGGGTCAAATGGTATTTCTGGTTGTATATCCTTGAGGAATCGCCACACTGTCTTTCACAATGGTTGAACTAATTTACACTCCCATAAACAGTGTAAAAGCATTCCTATTTCTCCCCATCCACTCTGGCATCTGTTGTCTCCTGACTTTTTAATGATCGCCATTCTAACTGACGTGAGATGGTATGTCATTGTGGTTTTAATTTGCATTTCTCTAATGACCAGTGATGATAAGCTTTTTTTTTCTATGTTTGTTGGCTGCATAGATGTCTTCTTTTCAGAAGTGTCTGTTCATATCCATGGCCCACTTTTGATGGGGTTGTTTTTTTTCTTGTATATTTGTTTCTTGTAAATCTATTTAAGTTCCTTGTAGATTCTGGATATTAGCCCTTTGTCAGATGGATGGATTGCAAAAGCTTTTTCCCATTCCGTAGTTTGCCTTTCACTCTGATGATAGTTTATTTTGCTGTGCAGAAGCTCTTTAGTTTATGTCCCATTTGTCACTTTTGGCTTTCATTGCCATTGCTTTTGGTGTTTTGAAGTCATGAAGTCTTTGCTTATGCCTATGTCCTGAATGGTATTGCCTAGGTTTTCTTCTAGGGTTTTTATGGTTTTAGGTCTTACATTTAAATCTTTAATCCACCTGGAGTTAATTTTTGTATGAGATGTAAGGAAGGGGTAGAGTTTTAGTTTTCTGCATATGGCTAGCCAGTTTTCCCAACATCATTTATTAAATAAAGAATCGTTTCCCCTGTGCTTGTCTTTGTTAGGTTTCTTGAAGATCAGATGGTTGTAGACATATGGCATCATTTCTAAGGCCTCTGTTCTGTTCCTCTTGTCTATATATTTGTTTTGGTACCAGTACCATGCTGTTTTGGTTACTGTAGACTTGAAGTCAGCTAGCATGATGCCTCCAGCTTTGTTCTTTTTGCTTATGATTGCCTTGGCTATGCAGGCTCTTTCTTTGTTCCATATAAAATTTAAAGTAGTTTTTTCTAATTCTGTGAAGAAATTCAGTGGTAGCTTGATGTGGATAGCGTTTAATCTATAAATTACTTTGGGTTGTATGGCCATTTTCATGATATCGATTCTTCCTATCCATGAGCATGGAATGTTTTTCCATTTGTGTTTTCTCTTATTTCCTTAAGCACTGGTTTGCAGTTCTCCTTAAAGAAGTCTTTCATATCTCTTGTAAGTTTAAAGAAGTCTTTCATATCTCTTGTAAGTTGTATTCCTAGATATTTTATTCTCTTTGTAGTAACTGTGAATGGGAGTTCACTAGTGATTTGGCTCTCTATTGGTCTATTATTGGTGTATAGGAATGCTTCTGATTTTTGCACATTGATTTTGTATCCTGAGACTTTGCTGAAGTTTCTTATCAGCTTAAGGAGATATTGGTCTGAGATGATGGGGTTTTCTAAACATACAATCATGTCATCTGCAAACAGAGACAACTTAAATTCCTCTCCTCCTATTTGAATACACTTCATATCTTTCTCTTGCCTGATTGCCGTGGCCAGAACTTCCAATACTATGTTTAATAGTAGTAGTGAGAGAGTGCATCTTTGTCTTGTGCTTGTTTTCAAAGGGAATGCTTCCAGATTTTGCACATTCAGTATGATATTGGCTGTGGGTTTGTCATAAATCGCTCTTATTATTTTGAGATATGTTCGATCAATACCTAGTTTATTGGGCATTTTTAGTATGGAGGGGTGTTGAATTTTATTGAAGGACTTTTCTGTCTATTGAGATAATCATGTGGCTTTTTCATTGGTTCTGTTTATGTGATGGATTATGTTTATTGATTTGTGTATGTTGCAATAGACTTGCATCCAAGGGAAGAAGCAGAATTGATCATGGTGGATAACCCTTCTGATGTGCTGCTGGATTTGGTTTGCCAGTATTTTGAGGATTTTCACATCAATGTTCATCAGGGATACTGGCCTAAAATCTTCTGTTGTTGTGTCTTTGCCAGGTTTTGTTATCAGGATGATGCTGGCCTCATAAAATGAGTTATGGAGGAGTCCCTCTTTTTTCTATTGTTTGAAATAATTTCAGAAAAAAATTGTACCAGTTCCTCTTTGTACCTCTGGTAGAATTTGGCTGTGAATCCATCTGGCTCTGGGCTTTTTTCAGTCGGTAGGCTATTAATTACTACCTTAATTTCAGAACTTGTTATTGGTCTAGTCATGGATTTGACTTCTTTCTGGTTTAGTCTTGAAAGAGTGTATGTGTCCAGGAATGTCTCCATTTCTTCTAGATTTTCCAGCTTATTTGCATAGAGGTGTTTATAGTATTCTCTGATAGTCGTTTGTATTTCTGGGGGCTCAGTCGTGATATCCCCTTTATCATTTTTTTATTGTGTCTATTTGATTCTTCTCTTTTCTTCTTTCTTAGTTTGGCTAGTGGCCTATTTTGTTAATCTTTTCCAAAAACAAAACAAAAACAAAAAACTCTTGGATTCATTGATTTTTTGAAGGGTTTTTATGTGTCTCCATCCCCTTCAGTTCTCCTTGGATCTTAGTTATTTCTTGTCTTCTGCTAGCTTTTGAATTTGTTTGGTCTTACTTCTCTATTTCTTTTAATTGTAATGTTAGAGTGTCAATTTTAGATCTTTCCTGCTCTTTTCTGTGGGAATTTAGTGCCATAAATTTCCCTCTAAACACTGCTTTAGCTGTGTCCTGGAGATTCTGTTATATTGTGTCTTTTTTCTCATTGGCTTCAAATAACTTATTTATTTCTGCCTTAATTTTGTTACTTACCCATCTCACTTAATTTTGTTACTTATCCACTCCTATTCAGGAGCAGGTTGTTCAGTTTCCATGTAGTTGTGCAGGTTTGAGTAACTGTCTTTATCCTGAGTTCTAATTTGATTGTGATGTGGTCTGAGAGACTGTTGGTTATGATTTTCATTCTTTTGCATTTGCCAAAGAGTGTTTTAATTCCTATGATGTGGTCAATTTTAGAATAAGTATGATGTGGTGCTGAGAAGAATGTATATTCTGTTGATTTAGGGTGAAGAGTTCTGTAGATGTCTATTAGGTCTGCTTGGTCCAGAGCTGTATTTAAGTCCTGAAGACTCTTGTTAATTTTCTATCTTGTTGAACTGTCTAATAGTGACAGTGGGGTGTTAAAGTCTCTCACTATTACTGTGTGGAAGTATAAGTCTCTATCTAGGTAATTAAGAACTGGCTTTATGTATCTGGGTGCTCCTGTATTGGGTGCATATATATTTAGGATAGTTAGCTCTTCTTGTTGCATTGATCCCTTTATCATTATGTAATGCCCTTCTTCATCTCTTTTGATCTTTGTTGGTTTAAAGTCCATTTTATCAGAGACTAGGATTGCAACCCCTGCTTTTTTTAAATTTGGTCTCCATTTGCTTGGTAAATCTTCCTCCATCCCTTTATTTTGAGACTATGTGTGTCTTTACACATGATGTGGGTCTCCTGAATACAGCACACCAATGGGTCTTGACTCTTTATACAATTGGTCAATCTGTGTCTTTTAATTGAGGCATTTAGCCCATTTATATTTAAGGTTAATATTGTTATGTGTGAATTTGATTCTGTCATTATGATGCTAGCTAGTTATTTTGCCCATTCATTGATGCAGTTTCTTCATAGTGTCAATGGTCTTTACAATTTGGTATGTTTTTGCAATGGCTGGTATGGTTTTTCCTTTCCATATTTAGTACGTTTTTCAGGAGCTCTTGTAAGAAAGACCTGGTGGTGATAAAATATCTCAGCATTTGCTTGTCTGTAATGGATTTTATTTGTCCTTCACTCATGAAGCTTAGTTTGTCTGGATATAAAACTCTTGGTTGAAAATTCTTTTCTATAAGAATGTTGAGTATTGGCCCCCACTCTCCTCTGGCTAATAGGATTTCTGCAGAGAGATCTGCTGTTAGTCTGATGGGCTTCTCTTTATGAGTAACCCAACTCTTCTCTCTGGCTGCCTTTAACATTTTTTTTTCTTCATTTCAACCTTGGTGAATCTCATGATTAGGTGTCTTCGAGATTTTTTTCTTGAGGAGTATCTTTGTGATGTTCTCTGTATTTCCTGAATTTGAATGTTGGCTTGTCTTGCTAGGTTGGGGAAGTTCTCCTGGATAATATTCTGAAGAGTGTTTTCCAACTTGGTTCCATTCTCCCCATCACTTTTAGGCACAGTAATCAAATGTAGGTTTGGTCTTTTCACATACTTTCATATTTCTTGGAGGCTTTTTTTTTTTATTATTCTTTTTTCTCTAATCTTGTCTTCATGCTTTATTTCATTAAGCTGATTTTGAACCTCTGATATCCTTTCTTCTGCTTTATCGATTTGGCTCTTGATACTTGTGTATGCTTCACAAAGTTCTCGTTCTATGTTTCTCAGCTCCATCAGGTCATTTATATTCTTCTCCAAAGTGGTTATTCTAGTTATCAATTCCTCTCATCTTTTTTCAACATTCTTAGCTTCCTTGCATTGCATTAGAACATGCTCCTTTCGCTCCAAAGAGTTTGTTATTACCCACCTTCTGAAGTCTACTTTTGTCAATTTGTCATATTCATTCTCTGTCCAGTTTTGTTCCCTTGCTGGTGAGGAGTTGTGATCTTTTAGAGAAGAGGCATTCTGGTTTTTGGAATTTTAGCCTTTTTGTGCTCATTTTTCCTCACCTTCATGGATTTATCTGCCTTTAGTCTTGGATGCTGGTGACTTTGGACAGGATTTTTGTAAGTGGCTGTTCCTTTTTTTTTAAAGTTGATGCTATTCCTTTCTGCTAGTTAGTTTTCTTTCTAACAGTCAGGCCCCTCTGCTGCAGGTCTTCTGGAATTTGCTGGAGGTCCACTCCAGACCCTGTTTGCCTGGGTATCACCAGCAGAGGCTGCAGAACAGCAAAGATTGCTGCTTGCTTCTTCTTCTGGAAGCTTTGTTCTAGAGTGGAACCTGCCCTATGCCAGACAGAGCTCTCCTGTATGAGGTGTCTGTTGACCCCTGCTGGGAGGTGTCTCCCAGTCAGGATGCACTGGGGTCAGGGACCCACTTGAGCAGGCAGTCTGTCCCTTAGCAGAGCTCAAGTGTGTGCTGAGAGATCCACTGCTCTCTTCAGAACCAGCAAGCAAGAATGTTTAAGTCTGCTGGAGCTGCACCCACAGCCACACCTTCCCCCATGTACTCTGTCCCAGGGAGATGGGAGTTTTATCTATAAGCCTCTGACTGGGGCTGCTGTCTTTCTTTCAGAGATGCCTTGCCCAGAGAGGAGGAATCTAGAGAGTCAGTCTGGCTATAGTGGCTTTGCTGAGCTGTGGTGCATTTTGAACTTCCCAGTAGCTTGTTTACACTGTGAGGGAAAAACCACCTACTCAAGCTCAAAACCACCTACTCAAGCCACAGTAATGGCAGATGCCCCTCTCCCCACCAAGCTCAAGCATCCCAGGTGGACTTCAGACTGCTGTGTTGACAGCAAGAGTTTCAAGCCAGTGGATCTTAGCTTGCTGGGCTCTGTGGGTGTGGAATCCACTGAGCTTGGCCACTGGCTTCAGCCTTCTTTCCAGGGGAGTGAATGTTCTGCTCTATCTTGCTGATGTTTCAAGTGGCCACTAGGGTTTGAAAAAGAACTCCTACAGCTAGCTCAGTGTCTGCTCAAATGGCTGCCTAATTTTGTGCTTGAAACCCAGGGCCCTGGTAGTGTAGTCAACCAAGGGAATCTCCTGGTCTGCAGGTTGTGAAGACTGTGGAAAAACCATAGTTTCTGGGCCAGAATGCACCATTCCTCACAGCACAGATCCTCATGACTTCCCTTGGCTAGGGGAGGTAATTCCCCAACCCCTTGTATTTCCTGGATGAGGCAACACCCCACCCAGCTTTAGCTCACCCTCCATGGGATGCACCCACTGTCTAACCATTCCCAACTAGATGAGCCATGTACCTTAGTTGGAAATGCAGAAATCACCCACCTTCTGCATCGATCTCTCTGGGAGTTGCAGACCAGAGCTGTTCCTATTCTGCCATCTTGACAGCCACCTAAAGTTTATTTTATGACCCAGAATAAGATCTATCTGGGCATATGCTCTGTGTGCACTTGAAAAGCATGTGTATTCTGTTGTACATGGGTGTAGTGTCCATTAATCTAATGTCCATTAGATTAAATCAGTTGATAGTGTTATTCAGGCTTTATATATCTTTGCTGATTTTCCATCTATTTATTAATTATTGAGAAATAAAATTTTGAATTTTCCTAATTATAATTGAACATTTCCATATATCCTTTTAGTTCTATCAGTTTTTGATTCATTTATTTTGGATCTTTGTTAGTTGCATTGTATATTTGAGTGTTTATCTTCTTGGCAAGTTGACCTTTTTATCATTATAGAATGTCCCTATAATCTATCTATATCTTTGTATTTAAAATAGGTTTCCTTTAACCACAGAAAGTTTCAGAAGTAATTTTTTTGAATCAATTTCCTGTCTTCTACCTCCCACAGCACCTCCAAATTGCCTCTCTTGCTGTCTCCCATCTCAGTTAATGGCTTGTCAAACTTTCCATTTGCTCAGGTACAAAACCCTTAGAGACATTCTTAACTCCTCTCTCTATTTTACACCCTCTTTCCAATGTCAGAAAATATAGTCTGTTCTTCCTTCAAATGATGTTCAGCATCTGCCCACTTCTTACTATCTCTGCCACCTGGTCTGAGCACCTCACCTGGCTTGTCCCTCACCAGGCTTGTCCCTACACCTGGCTTGTCCCTACATTTTCATAACAGATGTCCCTGCTTCCATCCTTGTTCCTCTGCACTCTGTTATCAACATAGCCCCCAGAAAAAATCCTGTTAAAGGAAGAGTCACACCAAGTCATTCCTCCATTTAAACCCTCCAAAGGCTCCCATCACAAACACAATATAAGCCAGAGTCATCACAATGATCCATAAGGTCCTGGACGATCTACTTCCCCTTTCTCTGCACCCCGCAGACCTCTTTTGATACTGCCTCCACTTCTGTGCCCCCACGCTGCCGCCTTGCTGCTTCAGAAAGGAGGCTGCTGTGGCCCCTCAGAGGCCATGCACAGGTTCCCTAGCTCCTCTCCTGCTTTTGCTCTGGGCATCTTCCCAGCAGGCCCTTCTAGATCCCCCACTTCAGTGTGCACGCCCTCACCCTCCAACCCTCTGTCCCCTATTCCACTTTCATTTTCTCCTGGCTCTTCCCCCATCCTGACACCCTGGGTGTTTTCCTCACTTATCTCCCTGCCAGCCCTCTCTGGAATGTGAGTGCCATGCCAGTATGTGTGTGTTTATGTGTGTGTGTGTACTGGGGCAAGGGGGTTGTTTAAGGCCCCACCAGCTGCACATAGTCAGCACCAAAGCAACATATGGTAAGGGGATGAATCTTCTGTTGGCTTTGTCCTCCTCTACAGGTTGTGAGGGAAGAAGCTGCCTCTTCTTATGAGTGCTTTCCCGCTGGTGCCCAGTGGAGACCTTCCACAGCCTCTCATGGTATTTGTCAGATGAATGAACAAATGAAAAGAGAAATGAACGCACTGGAGAGTTCTGTTGCAGCTGAGGCCGGCCCGGGTTGTATATGTCATCTTCTTCCAGAAGCCATGGTCCTCCTCAGTGTCTTTTAAAGCAGACCACACATGGGGACTTTGGCCTCACAGGGTACGGCCTCCACTCATCCCCCAGGGGAACTACCCTGCCCATAAGCCCAGCCATGCTCTCCCACCATGTCCTTCCAAATGCTTTCTCTTCTACCACGAGGCCCCTCCTGATAAGCACCTTGGCTCTCCAGGCCCTCTCTGACTCTCAGTCACTTTTCCATCTCCAGCCTCACCCCACCTGGTGAGTCAACCTGGGAGGATGTCTCCGGAAGTCTCCCTTCAGCTTCTGCCCTTGGGCAGAGTGAGGACCAGAACACCTCTTCCAGAAAGTTCCCTGACCCGCTCCTTTCTAGTGGGGGAACTCAGTCCTTTTTGTTTCCCCCTTAGCACCCCGCACTTACTTATACTGTGTTTCAGTACCTGATTTACTTGTATATCCTCCTACTGGACTGAGAGCCCTTGAAGGAAGGAACCAGGCCCCCTCTTTCTCTGTTTCACAATGCCAGACCCAAGAGGAAGCTCAGGAAGCACTCACTGACTGATTAACTGGATAAATTTATTTAATAGAACCCAGACCATGTTCTGTGATAATAAATCTTTATATTTGTATAGCAATTTGCAGTTTGCAAAGCAATTTCCTAATCATGATCTTATTTCAACCTCCAACAACTCTGCGAAAATAGCAATTCATTTATTCATTTGTTCATTAACTCATTCGCTGATCCTGTGTCAGGCACTGTTCTAGGCACTGGAATGCAGGTGCAAACAGAACAGACAACTATGCCTGCCTTCATGGAGCTTACCTTCCTGCAGGAGGGACTGTCATATCTGTTTTACAGATGGGCAGACAGAGGTTAGTCCTGGGAGGCTAAGCAACCTGGACAAGATCACAGGGCTTGTAGGTAAAAGACCCCCCAGTCAGGATCAGGGCTGTCTGATTCCAAGTAGAGGGAAGACATTTTTCACCACAGTTGCCTTAGGGATTATGGGCTTATCCATGAGGCATCTTTTATATTTTTCTAAGTTAACAATAAATAAAAGGAAACTTGGCAGAGATCCACACCCTGGGACTACCTTGGAACTCCTTCCCTTGTCTAATGTATGTGTTTAACAAAGATGTGAGAAATACCTGCCAGGTCTCTTCTTCCTGGAGCCAAGAAGACAGAAGCCACCCAGCATTGTGAGCACGTCTGCTTGTGTGCAAACCCGCAGGCATTTTTAGCAACTTTGGGGAACATAAAGAAAGCTGTTGGTTTTGTTTGCACATATTTTTCGCCTCTGCAGAAGGCTTCTCACCAAGCGGCAGCCTCAGAGTTGCCTTTTATTTGATCTTAAGACACACAGAGTCTTTACAGCTCGCTAGCTGAGCTATAGTTGGCAAACTGCTTAACCTGCTCTTACTTCTGTTGTTGGGAAAATGGATCTGATAATAAAGGTCTCTGCCTCTCAGAGTGGTTGCGGGAATTAAATTCAGAAGTGCCAGCCTGCCTGTGAGGGTTGGAGACTGGAAGGAGGCAGCTTGGGGAGGAGAAGGCCTTGTTAGAATCTGAAGAACCTGGGATTCCAGTCCATCAGCTGCAGAACCTTCACTCCTCCAGCTTCAGTTTCCCTCATCAATGGGAATATTAGTACATATCCCAAAGGCTTATTATGAATGTCAGCAAATAATGTATATATAGTATCCATCACTGAGCCTACACATAACTATTGTCTAGTAAATGTCACGAGGTGTGCATTGTCATCATCATCATTACTGTTATTTGTGTGTGGGTGGTAGGGTCAACAAGGATTTTAGAAATTTGAGACTAAATCTGTTGAGCCAAGTATTATGTCTTATGCATGCCTGTATGCCCGATGCTCAAAACTCTACCCAGCGGTTGGCAACTGCTCAGTAAAGTTTGACCAACTGGATTAGATGAAGGAGGAGGAGACCAAGTCCCTCAAAGTGCTCAGGCTTGAAAAAGAACATGTGTTTACTGCGTATTTACCACATGGCACACCTTTGTCTTTACTTGTGTTTGTTCCTTGTAGAGACTCACAAGGCAGGTATCATTATTATCCACATTTTACAAATTAGGAAACTGACACTAAGTCATCAAATGACCTGCTCAAGGTCGTATTGTTGGTGGGTAGCACAGTGAGGGCCGGAACCTGAGAGAGTCTGACTCCTGAGTCCACACTCTTAATGACCTCTGCCCTGCACTGCCAGGAAGGATTCTAGTTTGAGGTTTCCTCTTCTTCTAACCTAGTTGACTTCCTGGCCCTCTGGTTGTTTTTGAGGTTCCATGCCGGCAGAAAGAGCAAACCTCTCTCCAAAGCAGCTAAGCAAGTGATCTGCATGATCAGCCCATTTTACTGTTTGGGTGTATTTGTATTTTAATTTTTCCCCATAACAGTAGACACTGGCGGTGAAAAAAAAGGCAGCCATCAGCTATCTATCCCCCAGGAGGAGATAACCTCCTGGGCAGTCCCATCCCCCTGGAAGCAGATGTTGCTTCCTGCCACCACAGGGCCGAGGGGTCCCTACCCATGCCTCTCTCCTGGGAAGCAGGCCCTGGAACCTAGAGCTAAAGGAGAGGACAGACTGGGTAAATCTCCCCCAGGGACTCCCTACCAGAGGCTGGGAATGAGGAGATGCCAAATCCCACTTTTGCTCCCAACCCTGTAGCTGCTTCCTTTAGGACACCACAGTGGATGTTTCCAACAGCCTTCTGTGCCACCTCATATTTAGCTGTAGAATCATGGCTCCTCAGTGCAGAGAGGGAAGAGGCTTGCTCTCAATCATGTAGCCATCAATGGACGAACCAGGACTGCCGTTTTCCTCATTCCCAGGCTCACGATCCTTCTACAGTGTGATACCAGGGCTGGAGATCCAACGCCAAAGGAGTTGTTTTAAGGACTCTATCAGTTCTATTTTGGAGTGGCATGATAGATAACATGGCAGCTCAGAGTTCCATTTCTAAAGTCAGAGCAGCCAGAGTCTGAATTTCAGCACTGCCGCTAGTTTAGGGACCCTGGGCAAGTCACATAATGTCGGTGAGCCTCCAAGTAGAGGAACTGGTACCCCTGCCTCACAGGCTGCTATGAGGATTAAATAACTGAGTTCATATAAAGCCCTCAGCCCACTTCTTGGCAAACAGAGAGCTGTCCAAACATATCAGCTTTATTCATTCCTTAATTCTTCAAACATATATTGGATATTAAAATGGCCATTTTATAATATTTCATTCAGTCTTCACAACAAAGCTCTAAGGAATTAAGATCTCCATTAAATAGATGGATATACACAATGTTAGAAAGGTTAAGTGACTCCTCCAAGGTCTTTTAGTTAGTAAGTGAAGGCCTGGATTCTCTGACTCCAGAGCCTTATTCTCTATGCTAGTTCATGGAGGTATTTTGTATTGTTTCATTGTTTTGTTGTGTTCTAACACAAGGGTGAGGTAGATGAACTAATATTATCTTACAAACTGACATAAAATGCACATGTGTGAGATTCCTGTTATTCTTATTAACTACCATAATACGTACCTTCTCTCCAACTTTGGTCCACTCAGCATCTGCCTCATTAAAAATATATATTCCAAGGCCCTGTCTCCAGATCCACTGAACCAGAGTTTCTGGGTGCAAAGCTGTTTATCAAGCTCTCCAGATGTTTCTAAAGTACACTTAAGTTTGGGAACCACTGCCTTTGGAAGTCAATAATCCAGTAAGAACTGCTTGACTGGAAGAGGGAAGACAGTTTTGAAAAAGGAAAAGTCACACAGATAGCAAGCTTAAAAAGCCAACTTATGTGTCAGTATTAGGTATGACCAGGAGGAACGGGGAGAGGAGAACCCAGGATGCCAAGAGCAGAGCGGGCAGAACTAGTGATCCCCAGTTGCCCCAGGTGTAGTGCCAACAGGGAGTTTGGGCCTAGAGTAGTAAATATCAATCAAAGTCTTTTGGCAATGCTGACAGGGGTATCCGCAGGGGCAAGGAAAACATCAAGTTATCAGGTCTCATAGCAGGTGATAGGAATGGCCAGGAAAGAAGGTAGCAGGGACCAAATTCTAGCCTTCTGGGAAATCGACTGGAGGAAACGGTAGGTAGCGGGGCTCCAACAGAGTCCTGGTTTGCATAATAGAGATTTAACAAGATCATCCTCCTCAGGCAAAAGACCAGCTTGCAAGTCCAAGGCACAAGGTCAGAGGGGAGCTAAGAAGAAGGAGAACTTGATTCTAATAGCCCAGCAAAAGCCCATGGGATAAGGACAGTGGAGTGTCCATGGTGGAAACTAAGTGGTCCTAGCAGGGCTGCAGGGGGAGAGAGTCAGGAATTTATAACACACCCAGTTAGTCATTCCTTCAAGCCTGCCACTTACCTGCCGCACACTGGGTCTATTTTGATACTGGTCCTGCCATGAGCCCTGTGACTTCAGTCAAGCCCCTTTATGACTCCAGGCCTCATTCTTCCTCTGATTCATGAAGGTCCATATGTAACGACTCTAATCGAGGTTCCTAGCAGCTCTTGCAGCTACCTCCAAGAGTTTCTGTGAGAATTAACTGTAGACATGCACCATATAATGATGTTTCAGTCAACAACATATCACATATTTGACAATGGTTCCTTAAGATTATAACATTGTATTTTTACTGTACCTTTTTCTATATTTAGATACACAAATACTTACCATTGTGTTACAGTGGGCTACAGTATTTAGTACAGTAACATGCTGCACAGGTTTGTAGCCTAGGAGCAATAGGCCATACCACACAGCCTAGTTGTACAATAGGCTCTCCTATCTAGGTTTGTGTACGTACACTCTATAATCTCACAACAATGAATTCTCCTAATGAGGCATTTCTCAGAACATAACCTTGTTTAAGTGAGGCATGACTGTACTATATCTATGAATAAGCCAGAACCTTTACACATTTTTTTTACAATGGAGTCTTGCTCTGTCACCAGCCTGGAGTGCAATGGTGCAATGTTGGCTCACTGCAACCTCCACCTCCTGGGTTCAAGTGATTCTCCTGCCTCAGCCTCCCAACTGGCTAGGACTACAGGTGGTGGCTACCACACCCAGCTAATTTTTGTATTTTTAGTAGAGACAAGGTTTCACCATGTTGGCCAGGATGGTCTCAGTCTCTTGACCTTGTGATCTACCCACCTTGGCCTCCCAAAGTGCTAGGATTACAAGTGTGAGCCACTGTGCCCAGCCTACACATTTTTTGAATTTGTTATCTTGCTAGTTTCTATCTGATCAGTATACACCTATCTTTCTTCCATACTCAAGCACAAACAGAACACATGTCCCTAGTAGATTTCAAGCTAATGTTTCTCTTACTGGCCAGTCTGACTTGCCTGGGTTCTGTGACATGGATGACAGCAGAGAGCTCTGCTGGGGGCCTGAGAACCTCATCTTGTATTCATGCAAGAACAGAGGGGAATAAAAGAAAAGGAAGAAGGGGAACAAGAAGGAGGCACCAAACACACAACACTTCTTGATGGGGTATCCAGGTCTTTGTGGAACATAGGAGCGTCCATGCAAGTGACCGACTCCAGGAGACAGGCCACATGGAAGCACTTGATTAATTTGGACATGTATGAAATTATGGGGGCAAACTAATCTGCTCACCCAACAAATACTAGGAAGAGGAAGCAAAGCTAATATATTTCCAGGCTGAACGGCAGCAAAAGAAGGGGGTAAAGATTTGCCTGTGTGGCAAAAATGACTGAAATTTTAGAAAGACTTAAATCCTGGACAGATAGAAGGGCATCCTGGACAGCCGTGGTGGCTTATACCTATAATCCCAGCACTTTGAGAGGCCGAGACAGTGGGCTAGCTTGATCCCAGGAGTTTGAGACCAGCTTGGGCAACATTGGTGAGACCCCATCTCTTAAAAAAAAAAAAAAGGAAAAGAAAGAAAAGAGAAAAAGGGTATCCTGAGTACTCACAAGTGGCAGTGGGGGCAGTGGTTGGGCAATAAATGACCTTTAGAGCATACAGCTCTGACAGTTATGAGCTGTGATATTGAGGACAAGGTATAGAGCCTCACCTTAGCCTTAGGTTTTAATATGTACATGTAGCTACTCCCTCTTTGTAGTAGGGGCATCCTTGCTACCAGACAGGTGAATATCAAGAAACTAAAGATAACTGTATCATATCTCATAGATCTTAAATTATTGATTTCAACACCTCTGAAATTAGGATATATCTTATAATCTGTCACATTTTAGAGTCTATGAAACAACAATATGTAAAACTCATTACACAAACTCAATACTTATAGACAATTGTTATCTAGTAAGAGCCAGAAGTTGCGTCCTGTAAGACATCCTGCAACACATGTAAGACAGCTGACAGCAACACCAGGATGGCCAGATTGCTGGAGAACAGGAACCACATCTTCTGTTCATGGTACACTGTTCATGATCTGTTGCATGAGTGGATATACCTGAAGGGCCCTGAAGTTCATCATTTCAAATCTGAGATTCCAGATTCTGTGGACATTAATGTTACCATAATACTACCAACCACCAAAGAGTGTCACATTTTCTGAATCCAGAATCAGGGCACACAATTTATCACCTACAAAATGAAATGACACTCAATGTCTGATCTAACTCAAGTCATCTGCTATGTCCAGAACCATCTAGAACAACCCAAAGTTCTTAGAACCATATTACTTCCCACCTCTGAATGTTTGCATATGCTCTTCCTTCTGCCTGGAACTCCCTTTTGCCTCCCTTCCCTTCTGCTTTTTTTCTCCTGTGCTAGAGGCATTAGATACAGGATGCGCAAATGGACAAGGCCCATACATCACTTCCAGCCTGGCAGAAAAGACAGTTAAACGAGGACTAACAAGTAAAGGCAGGAAGTACAGGGAGTGCTGAGATTAGGAAATGGGGTGAACCTCTCTCTACACTGGCTGCCTGACAAAACCCTGCTCTTCTTTCGAGATACAATTCAGTGTCCTCTTTTTGTGAGACTTTCTTCTGTAAGGCTGTCCTGGGTTAAGCTGACCTCCCTATCAATGGGCTGCAACCCCGTTGTAGCACCTTTCACTCTGACTCCAATTCTAGATTGTGAAATTCTTGAGTGTAGAAATGTGTCTCATTCATAGCTTGATTCCTAGGACAATGGCACGCACATAGTAAGTGCTCAATAACTGTTGCTGAATGAAGATGATTTGATAAAGCATTCATTTGTGACTGGTGGATTTCTCCCTATGAAGAACCTTATGAAAAATATAAATAGTCAATTGTGTTAAGCTCTGTTTTTTTTTACTGGGTCTCAGTATAGTCTCCTATATTCTTATAGGAGAATAAAAGAGGGGAAATATGCTGGTTACTTGAATTCCCTATTTTTTTTTCTTTTGTTCTATGAGTAGAACCCTTCCATCAACTGCAATTGTACCCAGAAGCCCAAGGTGTAATATAAATAAAATCTGAACTTCTCTGAAGCTAGAAGTGGGACTCGAATCCTCAAAGCTCATTTCCACTTTCCCTTTGCCACAAAGAGTACATTTTGATAGCCTCCAACCTCCCTGTCACCTCTAACATTAAATCAGCCTGTAACTAACTATATCTCGAGTAGCCAGAATCACTGGGACCAGATATTAAAGTCAGGAAGATAACAACAAATACTTATAGAGTGCCTAAGACGTACCAGAGCAGCCAGGCCTTTTTAAAAAGGATTGCATTTCTTTTTTTTAAAGATCTGTTTAATTTTTTTTTCAATTTGCAGTTTTTGTGGGTACAGAGCTGGTGTTCCTTTTTCCTTACCATCCCGTTCTCTTCATCCCAAATTATTTCTTTTCAAATTAAAACTAATCTTATATTGTTACCCACCTTAAATGCTTTTGGAGAACAAGTTAGCTTTATAAACAGGTATTAGTACAAAATGCAGTATTCATTTAATCCTCACAACAAATCTGTGGAGTTAGTTTTAGTAATTCTGTTTCATATCTGAGATCAGCGGGGCTCAGAGAGAGCGAGAAGTTGCCCAACATCACTGCAGGAAGTTCTCAAGCATAATCCTAGCTCCCTGCTTGCGAGGCTTGCTGTGCCTGGTACCACTCTCACTAACAGGTTGACATTTACTAATTTATTTAATACCAATAAAACACAGTGAGGTGGATACCACTGCTGTGGTCACTTTACAGATGAGAACGCAGAGGATTGCACAGGTGAAGTAGCTTGTCCAGGGCCACATGACCAACAAATACCCGGCCAGCCCTTGAACTAAATCATCCTGTTCCATGCTCACGCCTGTGTTGTCCCCAATGTGGAGCCCGTACTCTTGCCTCAGAAGCCTCCTGCCTCAGAAGCCTCCTGCCTCAGAAGCCCTTAACTTCCCTCCTCCCTTTGAGGGCCGTCTCTTTCCCTTCTGTGCCAAGCTGGGAGAAATGCAAAAAGGCGGGGGCCGTCAGAGCAAACCCAAAGGCAAGTACCAGGATCATTAAGCAAACCAGACCACCTGGGGGGCAAGTCAGAGTCTCCCTGCAGCCTGGCTATGTGACCTCTCCCAGCTTAGTCAGTCCAGGTCTCCATTTTCTCAGCCACAAAATGGGGATTATAATAGTAACAATCTCAAAGGTATTGTAGTAGGGCATGAAAAGTGCTAACAATAGTATCAGTCGGCCTCCTGGATCCGTGGGTCTTGCATTCATGAATTGCACCAACTGCAGATTTAAAATATTCAGGAAAAAACAATTGCAAAATTTCAAAAAAGCAAAACTTGAATTTGTCGTGTATCAAGTATTATGTAAAATTCACACAAATGAAGTGATGTGTAGGCATTGTACTAGGCATTATAAGTAATCTAGAGATGATTTAAAGGCAGGCAGGGCTGTCCTGGGGTAAAGCAAGCACACTTGTCCCGGGCTCCTGGAGGAAGGAGCTGGGAGGGCAGAGCCAGGAAAGGTGTTATGCAGAGGCAGAAGCACAGCCTAGGCAGAAGCATAGAGGTAAGAGGTATAGCATCCGCAGGAGAAATGGCAGGAAGCCAGTCACTGAGGTGCCAAGGGCGTGTGCATGGGAGGGTGGGGCCAGGCCACAGAGGGCATTGCAAGGTAGACCAGCCCAGTCCAGTTCCTGGGCCTGAGAGGGCTCTGATGAACTGTCCAAGGTGGTATTTCAGGGAGATTACTCAGGCTGACTGGACAGAGGTGCTTGCTTTGCAGCACTTTCCTGCCTTCAAACCACAAGCAATATTTTAAAAATTAAACTCATCTCTTACCAGCATTACGTACATAGTTCAAAAAGGCAGATAGTTCTACAAAGCCCATTCCCCTGCCCCATTTCCCTCCACTCCCAAACCTTACCACCCAGAGCCAGCCACTGTTCAGTATTTCTTGCAGCATTTAAGTCCGTGCTTCTAAATACTATGTCTACACATCTCTTTCTTAATTTTTTTCATTAGCAGTATGGCCTATTGACTTTCTCTTACAAAAGAGGACTTAGCTCTCTTCTCTCATGTAGACACTTTACCTTTCCCAACTTTCCAATCTAGTTATAACATTTCCTTTGTTAGATTAGTGTTTATATCATTGTGACCACGTAAATCACAGCTGAGCCATATTGTAACATGATTACATTTTTGCTTTTGTATGACATTCTTTTCACTGAAACTGATGCCTCATTTTAAAAACCTATTAGCGGCCGGGCACGGTGGCTCACGCCTGTAATCCCAGCACTTTGGGAGGCCAAGGCGGGTGGATCACAAGGTCAAGAGATCGAGACCATCCTGGTCAACATGGTGAAACCGCGTCTCTACTAAAAATACAAAACAAATTAGCTGGGCATGGTGGTGCGTGCCTGTAATCCCAGCTACTTGGGAGGCTGAGGCAGGAGAATTGCCTGAACCCAGGAGGCAGAGGTTGCGGTGAGCTGAGATTGCGCCATTGCACTCCAGCCTGGGTAACAAGAGCGAAACTCGGTCTCAAAAAAAAAAAAAAAAAAAAAAAACCACCTATTAGCTTCATTTTCTAGGTACACTCATCCCTCTCCCCTTGGTGAGAAATTTAAGTCTGCTCTCAAAATCTTCAAGCACATCAGGTAATCAAGCCATCCATCTTGCTTCCTTCTGGAGTTCTCAGTGGTCCTGCTCTCGCCCAGATGTTGGGTCTCTGTCTGCTGCCGAGATGTAGCTGTCCCCAGGATGTGGCAGGGGCATCCTTGCTACCAGACAGGTGAATATCATTAATCTATAGATTTTACTCAGAAAATACCTACTTTGTGCTTCCAGATGCCAAAGAGGTCCCAGGCTGGAGGCTGGAGATCCAGAGATGACTTGGATACTGTTTTTACCTTCAAAGAGCTCTCAGCCCAGTTGGGGTAAATACAGTAAGTGATGGGCCAGAGGTGAGCCTGGACGTTATGGGAACTCAGCCTTTGGAAGAGCTAGCAGTTATGAAAGGCTTCCTGTAAGAGGTGATGCCAAATGAGCCTCAGCTTGTTAGGAGGAGTTTTCCAAGTGTTCTGGAACAGATTCCTGGTAAGAGAATATCATGTGCACAGTCACGGGAGCATGACAAGACATGACTCTTTCTGGAAATTATAAGTAATTAATTAGTGATGATCATGTGGGAGGGTTCCAGCTGAGTGGTGGGCAGGGTCCTTTGTGCCAGGTTAAGGGAACTGAGGGCAGTGGGGAGCCACTGAAGGATTTTAATAAGGGGTGACATGGTCAGGCCTGAATTTAGAAGGGCTAGTGAAGTAGACAGTGAGGTCTAGCCGAGGATAAAGAGGCCTGACCTAACACTGGCACTGGAAGTGAGGCATGGGTCTCAAGATACTTTAAAGAAACCAAATGGACTGGACTTGGGGACACAGGACATGTGGAGATGACAGATAATTCCCAAAGGAAAAAGTGTTTCAATCCCATACATATCTCCTGGGAAACCTGTAGGTTGGGAAAGCCACTGGCCTCTTGTGGTATTTGGGGACCAGACATGCTGAGAGGGTGGATGCCCAGAGACTGAAGGAACGGGACCAGGACCTAGAGTCTCTATAAATTGGAGAGCAGAAGCAAGACTGAAAGGCCATGGGGGTGGATAGGGTTGGTGCAGCCTGATAGGTAAGAGCAGCAGCTCTAGCTCAGGCAGCTCTCAGTTTAAATGCCAACTCTGCCATCTGCTTGTTGAGCCTCAGTTCACCCATCAGCAAAAATGGGGACCATAATACTACCTACCTCATGGAGTGGTTGTGAGGATTAAATGAGACCTTGGCTGTAAAGTGCTTGGCATGATGCCTGGAGCATAAGAAGTGCTTCGTTTTGTGACTTCCTATTGCTGGTCTTGGAGAGTAAAAACAGCTTCAAAAATCAGGTGTCATTTGAGATGATGATCTCAGGAAAGGAGTAGGCAGAGATGGCTTCATGGGCAGGTCCACAGGGCCGTGAGCACAGAAGAGCCCCATACATGGTTGAATGTTCTCCTCTACCATCTTGAAATTCTCAACAAGTTTTCAGCAAGGAGCCCCACGTTTTCTTCTTCACTGGATGCGGCAACTTCACTAGCTGTGCTGTCATAGGACACCATCAGGCAGAGAAGGGGAAGGGAATGCTTTTGAAGCAAAAGGGGCCTGAGTGTGCAAAGGCATGCTGGAACTCAAGGTTCAGCCTGTTCCCGGAACAAGCAGCACGAGGTATGATGCTCCTAGCTGGAGAGTTGTGTACAAGGAGACAATGGTAGAAGCTCCAAGTGGAAAACAGTGAAAGGCCTCAAATGCAGCACTAAGGAATCTAGCTGTTACATATTGGATACATAGGGGGCTTCCAAATGTTTCAAATCTGGAACTGTTAAGGTCAGTGATGTTTAGGCAGAATACTGATGAAACTGGAGGTGGAATGGTGTGGAAAGTATTATGATCTGTATTTTATAGACGAGAGAACTGATTCCCATATAAGCTGGGCTGTGACATGATTTTCATGGGCCCTAGGCAATTCTGCCTGTGTGGACTCCTTTTTCCAGAAAACTGTGCGTGTGCGTGTGTGTGTGTGTGTGTGTGTGTGTGTAAAATTATACTTTACAACTACATCGACATAAAGGCAGAGATCTTACTATTCTATATGAAAACCTCTTCTTATAGACCCAAGGTGCTGTGTCTGCTGTGCTGAACAAGAAAGTCCCCTGGGATGTCAGTTGCTCTCTTTTCAGATGTTGTAGCCAGGACTCCTGGAATGGGTGGACAGTCCTGTTTCTCCTCAAAGGGAATACTAGCTAATCCCAAAGGCCATTTTAGCTGGGCCCTTCTGTGCCTCCAGGGACACTGTGTTCCAGCTACAGAAGGAGCTGATGATTGTCTGGGTTTGGAACTGTAAGGTGGGGCTGACTGACAGGTAAAGGAGAAAGAGTTGTGAATGTCCCAGGGTTTGGGGAGAAATCAAAGGTCTCATATCTGCAGATGTTTGCAACTCTACCCTTATGTCACCTACAACTGCAACCCCAGGGACAGGGCTGCCTACCTACTCCACCCACGGGGAGGGCGGGGAGGCTGAGTCAGCGGCGGCAGCTGAGGATGTTGTCTGGAGAGGAGAAAGATCACCGTCTGTCTGTCTGTTGAGGTTCCAGAGAAACCTGTCTGGAGAGGGGGAAGCATGCAGGCCTTTCTTTGCACGTCAACTGCTCACGTAGCCAGGAAAGTTGATGGAGGTTCCAGAAGGGTAGTCCCTGCTTCACCTCCTTCCTGAGACTTTCCTCCATGATCTTCACTGGCCTTCTCTTCCTTTCCACCTGAAACCCAGGACAGTGACAGCATGGCCTAATTCATGAGCTTCAGTCCAGTCCTCCCCTTCTCCCAGCTTTGGCTAGTCATGTACCTGGTGGGAAGGGAGAACGGTAAACGAAAGACAGCACAGGGAGAGAGAGGGTCTATTTGGGAAAGAAAAATAGATCTGGCATAGCTATCTCTTTAGCTCTCAATCTTCAAATCACCTTTCTCTAGGCCCCAGACCCCTTCTTACTAGGGATATATCAGTGAATGAATGAATGATATTCAACCTTTCCTGATCTTAGAAACCACCCCTCCTTCTGTCCTCCAGTTCACATGGTCAGGAGATACTCAACTGCTTCTAAAATAAAAAGGAAATTGATCAGAAAGGAAACCTGCAGATAAATTCAGATGAGCATTATTGAGAAAGTTTCCACCTGATTACCTCTATTTTCTCTATAAAGGTTGAAGGTTTGGTAGGATAATGAATCATAGAAATCGCTATTGCATAGAAGAGAAGGGATCTGACTGGGAATTTGCAGACACATTACAGGGCAGTGTGTGGCCCCTGTGATTTTGGTGGATAAGATTAATAGCTAATGTGTCTTGAGCAGTTATTATTGTCTGGGCACTGGACTTAGTGCTCTGTGTACATGACCGCTTTGTTCTTCACATGCACCTAGGAGAAAGCGGCCCCAGTCAAAATGAGCCAGGTCATGATGCAGGAATTAAAAAACAATTCTGGGTGGCTACATACAGAAAGGTCTATTTCTTGCTCATGCTCCATGCATCCATCAATGTGGCAGGGGGAAGAGGTATGGCGAGTTGCAAATCTGAGAAACCAGTAAGGTTTGAATGACTGGGAAGGAACGGAGGGAGGGGTTCAGAGTCTGGAATTCAGGAGGAGGTCAATGAGCCGGTCTGAGGAGAGCTCTGAAAAGACAAGAGGGAGGGGTCAGAGTGGGGCCCTGCTGTTTGAGATTTCAAAGGTGGAGCAGTAGCCAGCCAAGATAAGAGCTGGGTGTGGCTCTGAGTGTAGGTGGCTGACGTGGAGTAAAGCAAAGTTCCCTGGTGCTGAGGAGGTCAAAGGTGGGAAAGATGGAGCCACGCTTCCAGTCTTGGGAAAAAGGGGTTCTGGAAGGATGTAACAAGTCCCTGGTGAAGCATAGTCCAGCTGCTTGGGATGTAAATTTTACCAGGATATGAGGTTTGTAAACAATGTTTTTTAATAGTAAAACATGGTAATAAAATAAAAGATTTCAAAAAAATGTGTGTGGAGGTCCACATGCCTCTGCCGTGGAAATCTGGAGAAGCACTGCATGTGGAGGAGCCACTTACATGTCATAGATGACAGCAACCAGGACGAGAGACACAAACACCCAAGGACCAGGGCCTTTTTTGATTTCCATGTAATGATGATAATAATAAGAGCTAACAGTTCATGAGAGCTTATTATATGCTAGACACTGTCTTAAACACTTTAGGTGTGTAGCTACTTCAGTCATCTCATGACGCCCTATAGGGCCGTCCATTTTTATTCCCCTCTTAAGGAGGAGGAAAAAGAGGCACAGAGGAATTGTGTAACTTGGCCAAGGTTGCATCACTAGCATATGTCACAAGTGAGATTTGAACTCAAGTAAACCGGCTTTAGAACCCATACGCTTAAATGCTGCACTAGTGGTTTACCAACACGGGTAACCACTAGAATTGCCTGGGGTGGGGTGGGGTGGGTGGAGGATTTGTTAAAGCAGGATATTTGGCCCCTCCCCTAGAGTTTCTGATTCAATGGGTCTGGAGTGGAGCCCAAGAATTTCCATTTCTAAGAAGTTCTCAGGTGATCATTGAGCAGCTGGTCCCCAGGCTGTACTTTGAGAACCTCTGTTCCACTTCATACCACCTTGCAAACAGACACACACAACATCGCTTCAGTGCATGGCAGATCCAGCATCTCTTTCCAGATGTGACTGCCAAATGTGTGGCAGCAGGTGTATGTGTGTCACAGGAAGGTAGAAGATTAAGGTGTAGGTGGCACTAGGGGACACGAAAGAAGCTCAGTCCTGCTTCTTGGCTTGATGTGTGTGAAATGTGGAAAAGCAAACCACCTCCATGGAGACAGCAAGGTATACAGGTTCCACTTCAGATCCAGAGACAAAGGCACGCAGAGAGGTGAGGTTTTAAGTGGAGTATATTTGGCACAATACAGGGATACTACAGGGCACAGTAGGAAGAGAGGACAAAGAAGACGGTAGCAATGTGCAAAAATGAGCCAGAGTCGGGTGTGAGTGGGGTATTACTGAGGGAGACAGGAGTTGTCAAAAGACAGCACTGCTGCAGAAAAGAAATGCAGACAGGCAGTGCTGGGAGGTGTTCCTGAAGTTGATGCTCTCCAGTCCACTTTCAGAATCTTCCCAGCACAGCATCTTCAGTGATGACAAATAAGATAGAAGCTGATGCCCGAATAGAAGTGAAAGAGCTGGAGACTTCTCAGGGAAAGGGAAAACAAAGAAGTTCAGAGTGAGTCAAAACCAGGTGTCAGCCTCTGCAAAGCCAGCTTTTAAAAGCTGAAATTGACGTGTAACCAAAGTGGCCAACTTCTTACCTAAGAAAATCTTCCGGCCTTCCCATTCATTCCTTTGCGTGAGTGTGTGGGCCACTGCTGTTCCCCACCTGCCATCTCTCCTGCAGTTTGTGGTCCAGCTTAATTAAGAGTTCTGCTGGTCAATTAGTCTCGTTCACCTCTCTAATTGGGCACCAGCTGTGTTTTCTCTTGACAACGACTCTTTTATGGAACCTCTAAAATGCATTACATGAAGAAACATAACTGTTTCAGGGTTATATGATTATAAAACCAGGAACACTTGTTTTCTATAGAAATGAAGAGTTCATCTTTCTATGTTCCAGAAACTATTTTTTGAAAACTGGGGAGGGAGAGTATTGAAGGGCGAATTATCTGTTTGTTTATGTTCGGAATATGAATGCTGATTGTGGTTTTGCATAATCACAGGTGTTGGTGCATAAAGACTTGGGAAGTTTCCTGGCAGAAAAGCGAGACTTGAGAAATTGAACCATGAATGGCTCCATTTACGAACAGCCACCAATGATTGACAGAATGACTATTAGTAGCTAATATTAGCTGAGCTCTTCCTATGGGCTTAACCCTATGCCAAGCACTTGACACGGATTACCTTGTTTAAACCTGGCTGTTGCCTTATGGCCTTATTATATGGGTGCAGTTGCTTTCCCCATTTTTGCAGATCAGAAAACCAAGTGCCAGAAAGATGCAATAATTCATGTTTAAGGTCACACAACTCACCATGAAGTAGCTGAAATGGAACTGAAACTCAGGTCTGTCCCATGTCAAAATTCCTTTCTGCTTCTCTCCACTAAACAATGCAATTAACTGGTGGAGCTAAAGTGCTCTGCTTGCAACAATTGCAATATCAACAACAACGTCCCCTAACATTGGTACATAGCTTCCAACTCACCAAGTTCATTTACGTTTGCTGTCTCATGTGATATGACAGCCCTGTGGGAGAAACAAGCTGTTATCATAATCTCATATTACAGATAAGAGAACTGAGATACTTCAGGGCTAGATTCCTTAACCAGGCACACACTACCAGTAAAGAATGGAGTCAGACCTTTCAAATTCCTACTCCCAAATCTAATGTTCATATCACTGCTTCCTATCCTCTCCCAATATGGGTTTCTTGTTGAAGAAAGGGAAGACAGACAGACAGATAGATAGGTAGGTAGGTAAGGAGACACACAGACAGATAATAGATGACAGATAGATATTTCCAATTATTCATTTGTGCTTTTTTTCTTCTTTTTTTTTTGGGACAGACTTTCGCTCTTGTTACCCAGGCTGGAGTGCAATGGCATGAACTCGGCTCACTGCAACCTCCGCCTCCTGGGTTCAAGCAATGCTCCTGCCTCAGCCTCTCCTGCCTCCTGACTCCCTGCCTCAGCTGGGACTACAGGCGTGTGCCACCATGCCCAGCTAATTTTTTGTATTTTTAGCAGAGACGGGGTTTCACCATGTTGACCAGTATGGTCTTGATCTCTTGACCTTTATTTATTTAATTAGCTATATTACATTTTCATTTTCCCTATCCTGATCACTTACAAGTTTATTTAGTTACTGCCTGTCTCCCCTCCTTGGGATGTGAGCTCCATGAGAGCAGGCCCTTGGCCCTCTTTTTTTTTTTATCAACTTTTAAGTTCCGTGGTACATGTGCAGGATGTGCAGGTTTGTTACATAGGTAAACGTGTGCTGTAGTGATTTGCCACACGGATCAAACCATCACCTAGGTATTAAGCCCAGGATACATTAGCTATTCTGCCCGATGCTTTCCCTCCCCACACCTTCCACAATAGGCCCCAGTGTGTGTTGTTCCCTCCCATGTATCCATGTGTTCTCATCGTTCAGCTCCCACTTGTAAGTGAGAACATGTTGTGCTTGGTTTTCTATTCCTGTGTTAGTTTGCTGAGGATAATGACTTCCAGCTCCATCCATGTCCCTGCAAAGGACATGATCTTGTTTTTTTATGGCTGTATAGTATTCCGTGGTATATTTGTGCCAGATTTTCTTTCTAGTGTATCATCGATGGGCATCCTTGTCCTTCTGAATAATTATATTTCCAGGCCCCCAATACTGCCTAGAACTCAGGAGGTTCTTAATTAACATTTATTGTTGAATCCATTCAAACAACTATTAATTAATTTGCTCAATAAACATTTATTGAGTATCTGCTATGTACCAGGCACAGTTAGGTCTGAGAGATATTGCCCTGAAAGAGACAGATACGATTCTTACCTCCAGGGAGCTTTCT